AGAAAGGTGTTGTCGAATCTTTATGGCGGCTTGGAAATTAAGAGCGAGCGCTGGTCCGTGCAGATATAGTTGAAAGAAAACTTGATGGTGTCTCAGATCACAGTACGTAAAGCGAAGCGTGAAGGTACAGGTATTGCGCTCGCAACTAACTTCCCAACCGCTATAAAGTCTATATATATGATATAATTCACGCAACCTGGACGCATACCGTTGGGGCTGGTTCGATGTGGTGCAGGACAAAACCACTGGGAAAAACTTAGGGGAGACTTCTGCCTAGTAGTGGGACAGCATGGGCTGGGCAAAAAAATCATACGAAGCCTAATACATTGCCTATAGTGGTGGATTCGTTAATCTCTGCAGAAGAGAAAAAAAAATGCATGCGTCTACCCAGGGACGCACGGATGGAGTGCTTATGTGCAGATTGCCGTCGTTACGAAAAAACGTTAGCTCGTTGCACGAACTCAGTACAATATTCTGGTGCACGTCGTATACGTGTTCTGAAAAGAAAGTGGTTAAAGCTCTAATCAAGTGCTCTTTCCTTGGTCTCTTCGCTCACTTTTGACTGTTGCTTCACCATATCTTAAAGCAATTACAGTTTCAAAACTTTCCTATTCTGAGTTGAACGTAAGATTTATTTATTTATCATCTCAATACAACCATTATTACAGGATTAACCCAATGCAATAGTGTAGTGATCTCATCATCATCATTACAGCCCTTCACAAGTCCACTGCTGAACATAGGCCTCCCCCAAGGAATGCCACAAAGCACGGTCCTGAGTCACCTGCATCCATCGACTTCCTGCATATCTTACCAGGTCGTCACTCCATCTAGTGTGGGGACGCCCAACACTTCGCCTGCCGGTACGAGGCTGCCACTCGAGAACCTTTCTTCCCCATCGGTTGTCGGTTCTTCGAGCTATATGGCCGGCCCATTGCCACTTCAGCTTACTAATCCGTTGGGCTATGTCAGTCACTCTGGTTCTACTGCGGATATCCTCATTTCTGAGTTTATCACGCAGAGAAACTCCGAGCATAGCTCTCTCCATAGCTCGCTGAGTGACCTTGAGCTTCCTCATCCGGCCAGCAGTGAAGGACCACGTCTCAGTTCCGTATGTCATCACTGGCAACACGCACTGGTTGTACAGTCTCGTTTTCAAGTTTTGAGGTATACCTGACGAGAAGATGTGCCGTAATTTCCCGAACGCTGCCCAACCGAGTTAAATCCGTCGATTGACCTCTCGGACGAAGTTGGACTTACCTAGTCGGTGCCACATCAGCTTACTAATTCGTTGGGCTATGTCGGTCACTCTGGTTCTACTGCGGATATCCTCATTTCTGAGTTTATCACGCAGAGAAACTCCCAGCATAGCCCTCTTCATAGCTCGCTGAGCGAGCTTGAGCTTCCTCATCCTGCCAGCAGTGAAGGACCACGTCTCATTTCCGTATGTCATCACTGGCAACACGCACTGGTTGTACAGTCTCGTTTTTAAGTTTTGAAGTATACCTGACGAGAAGATGTGCCGTAATTTCCCGAACGCTGCCCAACCGAGTTGAATCCGTCGATTGACCTCTCGGTCGAAGTTGGACTTACCTAGTCGGACTATTTGTCCCAGGCAAACATACTCGTCAACAACTTCGAGCTCAGTGCTCCCAACAACTACCGGCATAGGTGTGACATGGACATTAAACATGATCTTTGTTTTGTCCATGTTCATCTTAAGACCTATCGGTTGGGAAGCACTATTGAGGTCATTGAGTATAGTGCTTAGGTCCTCCAGCGATTCTGCCATAAGGACTATATCGTCGGCAAATCGTAGGTGAGTGATGAACTCGCCATTGATGTTGATACGGTATCCTTTCCAGTCCAGAAGCTTGAAAACGTCTTCCAATGCAGCGGTGAAGAGTTTCAGGGATATGACGTCACCCTGTCTTACACCTCTCTGCAATTGGATAGGTTTCCTACTCTGGTTCTGTACTCGGATATTCATCGTAGCTCTACTGTACAAGCACTTCAGCACTTCGATATACCGACAGTCCACTTGACACCGCTGAAGGGACTGCAGCACCGCCCAATTTTCGACGGAATCAAAGGCTTTCTCATAGTCCACATACGCTAGACATAGTGGCAAATTGTACTCCTCTGACTTTTGTACAATTTGCCGAAGGGTATGTATGTGGTCTATGGTGCTAAAGCCTTTTCGGAAACCGGCTTGTTCGGGAGGCTGGAAGTCGTCAATTCTGCGCGCGAGACGATTCGTAATGACTCTCGAAAACAGCACGTAGACGCGGCTCAGAAGGGAAATCGGTCTGTAGTTCTTCAAGAGAGCGTTGTCGCCTTTCTTGAAGAATAAGACCACCGCACTTCTGCTCCACGCCTCCGGTGTAATGCCACCATGGTGTAGTGATCTAATATTTGTTTATTTAATATATACCTATGAGATGGATAATACGTCTTAATTTATATAGCATCGATACTGAAAATATCGACAAAAACAACGCTATTTCTTGTGGGTGGAGTCGTCGCCATATTTGAGAAACACTTGACTTCAGATCACGTGACCACATGCCATATCCCCTATTTTTCTTATATCTATGGTTCTGTGGCTGAGTCTATGGGCTGAGGCTGACAGTGACACCCACTGACTTCCTGTATAGGACAGTTACTATACTCTTTGCCACTGACTTAGAAGTATAGTGACACTGACCATAGATAATACACTATATACCAGGAATAGATGCGCCACTTACATTTCAGTTTTCGAATGAGTGTACCGTGTACGCTAGATGCCGCTGTATTCTTTAGTACAACCCAGCTTGCGGTAGTTACCACACGGTTACCACTAGATGGCGTATTTTGTCAATGACTATGTTGGTAATTATGAAATATGCAGTTTTATTAATAATGTTTCTGTTTATGCATTCTACCAGATAATTATTGGATATCTCCAATGATTATCTTAAATCTCCAAATGGTAATTTTGCAGATAACATTAACACTAATAAAACTTAACCTATTTCACATAAGATTTTATTTTAATATTAATATCAAACACTGAATAGAATTTTAATTATGTATTTATTTTCTTTTAGGAATGTTATAATATTTAATAGCTTGAGTGTTGACATTATCATTTTCACAATCACAAATCGGTAGTTAATAATTTTCCATTTAGCAGCCTGTTAACATTGGTGCATAAACTGTGAACAACCACATTTATTGTTAAATTTAGTAAATAATCATAAAGCCTAAATTATGATTTTCACAGGAGAGGAACGAAAAGTTGCAAAATATTTTCGTTTTCGGCATTATCGTATCAATAATATTCGTATTTATAATGGCTCCAGTACACGTTGGCCGAGCGCGCTCGCCGAGTGCACTCGGCCAACGTGTACTGGGCCGTTTTGTATATATTTGGCGTTTGCGGCCAACGCTCGCCGACGAGCCGTATAGTGTCGGTTTTCCATGCACAAATCAAAGGAATTTGGCGCAAGCCGCAAACAGTGTTCACACGTTGGCCGAGTGTTCAGTTCATAGTTACGCGTCGGAGTAGACTGTAGTGTCGGCTTAATAAAATTGTTTCAACATGGCGACATGGACTAATGAGGAAATATTTATTTAATAGTTTATGTACACACATAATTCGATAGGAAAATGGTAAAAACATAATTATGTACAAAGGCACTGCCTATTCCATGACGAAATTTCTTCCAGCAGGCCTAGGATAGTTGAAGGAAGTAGAGGTAGTCAAAGTGTGCACTTACATAAATATACATATACAATACAAATATATACATATACACACACACACACACACACACACACACACATATATATATATATATATATATATATATATATATATATATATATATATATATATATATATATATATTATACGCATATATTTTTTCATATATATATAAATAAATATTATATATTATGAAAAAATATATAATTCAATATAATATATTTTTAATGTTACTTATATGCATACCAACACATTACGATTTAATAATTATGGAGTAAAATATTGATTCATTGTTCATTGATTGATTCTCACAATGAATCAGTTATATGGAACCCCAAACATGAGCAACATAAAATTTAAGAGTACCTACTTAATGATAAATATTATTATAAATCATCTCTGCGTTTATGTTGCTCAGGGATAATGTAGCTTAGGGTCTTCTTTTGGGCTATCATTTATTTTGAAAAAACCCCCAGCGAAGCGGACACGGGTCAGCTAGTAGATCCTATAAAGGTTTCTTTTTTCCTTTTGAGGTCGGAACCCTAAAAAGGACAAACTGGGATTATTGTTGTATGTGTAGTTTTTTTTTCGTTCACTCTGAGAAGAGTGAAGCGCTGTATAAGTATATGACAGCGGCCGCGATTGCCCTAACGTCCATCATCATCTAGCTACCAACGCAGAATGAAACACGCCAACGTGTGAACGGCACCACGAAAATCTGCCGAGTGCGCTCGCCAAGCGCGCTCGGCCAACGTGTACTGGAGCCATTAGAAATAACTGTCAACCGAGTGTGTCAACCATAACCATAGACCAAAACTGCCATAGATTTAGTTTTTTTTTGGCTTTGGATTCTGGGGTTTTGGCCTAATTAACGCCATCTATACAACGCTGAACAAAACTAGCCTACAAGTTTATGTAGCTAGTTCACTAGAGGGCAGAACTTTCAATGCATTTTTTATTCTTGTAAATTTGTATGGCAGTTTCATCACACTGACACCATAGACTAATATATAAACTGACACCTGATAGCACAACTGATATCTGAGTCTGACTGTCAGTCAGATATCAGTCAGTGACTGATAGCTGATACTGATAGTAAATAAAAAAAAATCAAGTGTGGTTAACTAAGATAGAGTAGTGTTCAAAGAAAGCAGTGCTAGGGATCTATAGTATATCGGTGTCCTGATAATGTTAAAAAGAGGTAAATAAATTGTGGGAGAGGGAATATAGCGTACAGGTTTGCATTAACATGTTTGAGACAACAACAGATGCGGTACATCCGCGGTTTACAAAGAAACCTGCATATCCTCTTAGTGGTATAGTATTATATTTATGAGTTATTACTATATTAAACCCAGGCTCTCTATCTAACCAAGGAACTCAAAAATCCAAAATTCCTTAGCACTAACTTAATAATATATTTCCATATCTCTAAATAATTACATTGTAAAATCTTGTTTGACCTTAAAATGTCATAACCTCAGTGAGTATCATTTTTATTTTGGTTTTATTTCATTCATCATGCACTATCAATGCCTAGCCAGATAATTCTGTGCAAATATTGTTAAAAATGGTTTTTGTAAATGTTTTTACTCAATAATAGTAAGACATTAATTTATCATTTGTGGTACTTATTTATATGATACTTGCTATAGGCCCATGCTTCACATGGGTATTTCTGGATCTCGACAAGAGCAGCAGCTACCTGGTCCAATTGTTTCGAGATTATCCAGGAACCCACTCAAACACACAAAAATTTTCATCAAAATCAGTCCAGCCGCTTAACGATGTATTCAGTGACAAATATGGGTGCAAAAGAATAATACATATATACTTACTTTATTACACATCTTTATATATGTAACTTGGAACAGGCAGTGCCTTAATTATAGATTAGCAAGTATTTCATCCATCATTTTATCAAGTCCAAATTAAAATTAATTTTATTTAGTTTAATGAAACATAATTCAAATAAATACAGTGTGAGATTAAATATGTGAGGCTTTAACCCATCTGAACTTTGATTGCAAAACAATAATAAAATTAATTATAACATTGAATGGTCAGACACTTCATTGCCAGACAGTTCATTCATAATTAAATATTATGAAGAATTGTGCCAACATAAATTTTGTTTCATAAATTTTAAAAATGTAGAGTTTAAACTCTGTATTGTTGTTACATCATAGATTGTTAATAATAGTTATGAATGTGAGTACTTGCATAACATTATTAATAAATTATGTTAGTTAAGTCAACCAGTTTGTCATTAGTTTTGCTACCTAGCACAATACACATATTTACCTAAATTACAGTGTTTTATTGGATCTAGCAATTGTCTTTGAATATCAGGGTAAATCCTGCTGTGGAGTATTACAGGCCAATCTATTACTAATATTAATCAATTGCAGGTTTTAAAATAGCGTTGGTCCAGCTGGCAGTGGGGCCAGATAAATCAAAAAATGTGGCACAAGCTGTGAAGGAAATTCACTTGGCTAAAGAAAAAGGTGCCCAGTTGGTAGCGCTACCTGAATGTTTCAACTCACCTTATGGCACTCGTGAGTATGAATACTATTATCAAACAACACTCTTAGTGGTTTGGATTGATGAATGAGGGCAAAATTTTAAATAACATCTGTATGTAAGGAAAAACAGCTGTTCCAGAGCACTGCCCTTGCTGCCTCAGCCAGCATCGGTATCCTCAATGTCGATACATCAAATGATTTGCAATTTTATGGTCAATTGGAAGGGAGGCCAAGTTGGCCTCTAAAAAGCTTGGCATGCTCTGTAGAGAGTGACAGTATTTCATGTTCAGCTGTTCAGTGTCACAAGGAATTTTGTTCTCATCTTTGGGCCAGGGCAATCCAGTGCTGGCTCCTTCTACTTCCAAAAAAGGAATAACTTACTGATAAGTATGCATCCGTTCAGGATAAACATGAGTGATAAACTGATAAATAAAGTTTGAGAAAACGTCACCATCATTAGCTGTCTAAAAAGGTAACAGTGACATAAGAAAATAATGATAATTCCATAATAACATTCTCCTTCAAAATTTTTCCCAGTTACTACTGTCACATCAAAGTATAGGATGTGTCGACGTGTAGGCAGTGAATTCTATAATACTGTTGTACTTTCGCGCCTCCACCGAAATTTTTCTCAGATACTACTATCACTGATTAAATCAAACAAAAGGAACGATAGGTAGCAAAATGGTACATGGCTGATCGGCAAGGTTCAGTGAAATTTGTATATTTTAAAAAAAAGTTAAGCTATAATGGAACTTATAGTTGCATAGTTAGGTTGTTAATAAAAAAACGACTATTGAAATAAAACCTAATAAATTACCAAATCGCGTATAATATCTAGTTACATTATCAGATTAGAATGTCTTAAAAGTTACGATGATTTTTCATTGTGACTTGTGCTTAAATTAAATGACACTTACGGTGATAGCAAATTGAAATAAACGAATTTGCCCATGTGTAGTTCAGGCCTTATTAGGTAACGAGCCATTACGTTTTAATTTAAGTACTCAGGGCTGACAACGCATCTGCATTTTGATTCTAAATCAAGAATAAATCGGAATAAATGTAGGTTACCTCCATCAAGTGGACTGTGTGCTTGTTTGTGACATATTATCATTTTGAGTAACTTGCGAAACACACTCTAAATAAGTGCAAATACCTATTCATTAATGATATTGTAAATGTTAGTCTTGCAGAGTAATTTAGACTCGAAAGTTAACTCACACAAAGATCTTTTACTAATTTTAATCTACCTACATCATGCTTGGCCATTTTTTGTGGCATAAGTCTCCTTTAAGTTTTTAGAGGGATATAGAGTAGAAAAAGCATTTGCCGCACTGTTGAAACCATGCAGGTTGGTTTACTCACTAATTTCCCTTCACCGCCGAGCAGGTGGTTAATCAATATTCCGACACTAACAGAATTAGATAATTGCCGGAGTTTCCTATTAAGCGTGAAAGTATATATGATAATACGTGGTAGAGCCATTTTGCAGCTATATTAGTAGTATAGTTGTAGCTCAAATGGGTCTGCTCGACCGGGTAAGGACCACGCTCTCACAGAATACCAACGTAAAATGGCAGCTTGACACTGTTGTGTTTCGTATGGTGAGTGTTGAGACCGGAGACCCATTTTACTGGAAAAGAGGCATTCCATCTTAGTCCTCACGGGTGACGACGCATTTGCATTTTCATTCTTTATTGAGGATAGATGTGGATGTCTATGGGTCACAGCAACCACTTACCATCAGGTGGACTGTGTGATCGTTTGTCACCCTATCATATAAAAAAATACTGATATGCCTGTGGCAAAAATCTTCGGACGCTCTGTTATAAATGCGGTCTGGTGGACTCAAAAGCTTTAACTATGAAACGTTTCCACTCACAGAGTTCTTTAAGGAGTATGCAGAAGAAGTACCATCTGGTTCGACTTGCCACGCCCTGTCCAAGGCGGCGGCGGAAGCAGGTGTGTGCGTCATAGGCGGGACCTTGCCCGAGCGCTGCGGAGAAAAACTGTACAACACCTGTACGGTTTGGGATAACACGGGAAAATTACTAGCGCGACATAGAAAGGTGCTTTAATACTCTCCTCCCCCCTCCCCCTACCTCCTCCTCCTCCTCATCAGATTTTGTTTTCATCAATTGAATTTAAGCCATAAATTATTTAATCAGTAATTTATAATGTTGTCATTTACTTTCTAGATGCATCTCTTTGATATAGACATTCCAAACAAGATTACGTTCAAGGAATCGGACGTGTTGAGTGCCGGGGATCAGATAACCACATTCGAGTACCAGGGGATCAAGATAGGTCTAGGCATTTGTTACGATCTGCGCTTCCCTGAGATGGCGCGGCTGATGGCCGATCAAGGTTTGTATTGTAGTTATGAAAATTATTTCAAGTGCCAATTATGAGTAGATCCTAATTTTAATCTTGTTATAATAATCATTAGATACAATTTTATGAGTTCCAGTATTATAATGTTTTCGTTTGTTGCTCATTAAGACAAAGCATAGCAAGCAAAGCAAGTTTTTCGGTTTGAAGGTTATAGAAAACCAGTAAAATTACAGGCTGTAAGGCATTCCATCTTAATACTCAGACGTAACAACGTATCTGAAACCAGCGTGATGTAGGGTAGTGTGCTATAGGGTGGGTGGGCTAAATTTCTTTCAACACAAACATTGCTCGGGGCAAGCAAAGCAACAAGACCAAGATGACCCCTGCCACGCTAGTCGAGAAGTTCTGCAACATCAGGGGACTTCACTTGTACCTTAACGCCGTCCACTATGTTCTGTAGACGGCGAAGCCTACTTTACTCTTTGAGACCGAGACGAAGGTGACCTCGTTGGTTGATACTTGGTATCTCTCCAACCCGGAATACAAATTGGAACACTCATTTTTGCCTCGGGTTGGAGTTTGCGTATACGTCAGAGAGGATATCTATTCTCGACGCTTCTGCAGTCTTTGAAGGCGATGACCATTCTCGCGTCTACGGGTGCCTCTATAGGTCCCACAGCGGTTATGCTGACAAACCGACTCATCCAAATGGCTACAGAAACTGTGCTACAACAGACCCCATCCACAGAGATTGTGATCCTTGGCAATTTTAACACCTACCACACCGAATGGCTCGCTTCTTATTAACCGATAACATAGAGAGATGTGTTTATGTTTACCTTGACACATGGTCTATATCCGCTTGGGCGAAGGTACCATTTGACACAACACAATTTCAGATGTGACAGATCATGTACTTTACTTGTTGGAGCTTTTGTTGTCCTCTCATCTGAACGGATATCAGGTTTCCGTCGTTGTACCTCATGGCTCTTTGAACCATTGTCTGATCCAGAGTACGTGCCACTCACGATTCCATTGCGGTTTCGTTCTGTGGGTTGCCGTCTTGTAGGGCACAGGTGTTGGCAGTTTGGAATAGGATATGCTCCAGCACTGTTGGTGATTCTGTCACTGATGTAGTGCTTCAGGGAATGGAACTATTTATACCTTCATCTGTGGTACACATCGGAGATCCTTAAAATAATTCGTTCTGATCCGTCCAACCACAGGCCTATTGCCGTCACCTCATTTTACTCTAAAATATTGGAATCGATTATTAACTGAGCCTTGAGGAGCACTCACTAATCAGTGACCGCCAGTACGGTTTCCGTTGGGGTCGCTAAGTTAGTGATCTTCTTGTTTAATTAAACATAGGTGGGCGCAGGCAGTCGAGTCCAAGGGGGAGCCTTTGGCGGTTAGTTTATAACGAAAGCCTTTGATCGGATGTGGCGCAAAGCGCTTATTCCGAAGCCTCCATCTTATGGGCTTTCTGAGAAATTATGCAATTACAATTAATTTATCATTAAGGACGTGCTTGACGATGCATGCTCACACTTAAAGCCTTCAGTGGTGGTTTTCCATAAGGATGCATACTATCCCCTACCCTCTTCCTTCTGCATATCAATTATATGTTTCAAACCAGTAGCATTCATTGTTATGTAGGCCTACATACAGGGTTATTTTTTCAAGAGTATCCAAATTTCTGCAGTACTGGCAATTTCAAATCAAAATCACTTTTGTTCGGCTAGGAATTCTAATATCAAATTATTTTAAAAACATGGAATTCTTTTTTCAAAATTAGTAATTTGTACGTCTGAAAACTGGTCGACAATGACGAATTAAAGGCGATTGTGGAAGCTGATGATACTCAATCTACGGGTGAATTAGCAGCAGCTTATAACGTTAACATCAAAACGATATTTGTTCATTTGCATCAAACTGACAAGGTAAAAAAAAACCTTGACAAATAGGTGCCCCACGAACTCAACGATCGCTAGCGCGAAGTACGCGTCGAGACGTGCCTTGCGCTGCCCAACAGACACACAAACGAAGGAATTTTAAATCGCGTTGTTACCTGCGACGAAAAATGGATTCTGTTTGGCAATCGCAAGGGCTCATCTAGTTGGTTAGATCCTGGTTCAGCACCTAAATGTACTTACCCCTAGAAAAGTGGTGATCACTGTTTGGTGGTCTAGCGCCAGTGCGATTCATCACAGCTTCTTACCAAACGGGATAAGCATTATTGCAGATGTGTACTATAAAACGATGAACATAATGATGGAGAACGTCGCACGTCTCCAACCAGCTTTGGTCAATCGTTCGCCCCCGCTGCTCCTGCATGACAACGCGCGATACTCATACTGCACAACAGACAGTCTCCAAGTAATAAGAACTGGTGTTGGATCTTTGGTACTCACCAGACCTTGCGCCTACAGACTTCCACTTTTTCCAGACTTTGGATAACTTTTTGGCAGCAACCACTTTTTCCAGACTTTGGATAACTTTTTTATACGTGGTAGAGCCATGCTGCAGTTATATTAGTAACTATAAAGTTGTAGCACGAATGGGTCGGCTCGACCGGGGAAGGACCACGCTCTCACAGAATACCAGCGTAAAATAGCAGCTTAATGCTGCTGTGTTTCGTATGGTGAGTGTAGATAACCGGAGACCCTTTTTACTCGACAAGAGGCATTCCATCTAAGTCCTCACGGGTGACAACGCATCTGCATTTTGAGTCTTTATTGAGGATAGATGTAGATGTCTATGGGTCACAGTAACCACTTACCATCAGGTGGACTGTGTGCTCGTTTGTCACCCGATTCTATAAAAAAAAGCAAAACAAATCAGTACCCAAAAGGCAGTACAAAATGCCTTTGAAGAAATTTGTTGCCTCTCGTCCTGCTGATTTCTTCAAGAACGGCATCAATAAACTACCACTTTATCCTTGTGAAATTTATGTATGTAAACAGGATGCAGGAGAAAATTCTAGTGTGGAGGTACCTTATTGTGGGAAAAAAAAGAGAATTAGAATAAGAAATAGCGTTCGCAAAGGTGCATCGATTGCATGGGTGATTACTTTGATTAATAGAAGTAAATATTATAGAAAAAAAAAATTACGTTAGCTAATATATTTCTGTCGTTATATTTTTCTCGAGAGTTGAAGCATGTGTCTTTGAGTGCCGAAATCAAGTTGTGTCTGAAGCTCTGACTAAACCTAAAAGTCTGCGACAAAATCTAGGCCAGTTCAATCCACTGAAGACAGGTTTGCGTCATTACTGCTAAAAAGAACCCCTTTGTCGTATCTCTTTAATTTTAGGGCACTACAACTCTTGTTGCCTCAACCAGCGTAGGAATCAACGGTGTCGACATATCAAATGACGTTCAGTTCCGCGGTCACTTTGTAGGGAAAGCCAAATTGACCTCTAAAAAGCCGGCTACGCACCTTCAATTCCCCTGGTGATGCAGTTGTTCATGAGCGGCGGTAGTCACTTATCATCAGGTAAGAATTACAAATTAAAAAAAAATACCGTTTTCGTATGGTTGTCAACCAAAATTGTACAGAATTATGAGGAGCGCCTTTAGCGGACGTTGGCGATACGACAGAAAAGTTATGCTCAGGGGCCTGTTTCATAAAACGCAGGATGTTCGCTGCTGGTATACCCGGGCGCGTTTAACATGACGACGGGTCCGCAGCACTGGGAGCTGCTAGGGCGCGCGCGCGCCGTCGACCAGCAGCTGTGGGTGGCACTGGCTGCCCCGGCGCGAGATCCTGCCGCGCACTACGTGTCCTGGGGCCACTCCACACTTATAGACCCCTGGGGTGCCGTGCGCGCGCATCTCACCGATCAGCCCGACACTCTCCTTGCCGACATAGGTATGTGTGCACTATGTATCCTGGGGCCACTCCGCAGTCAAAGACCCCTGGGGGGCCGTGCACGCGCAGCTCACCGACCAGCCCGACACTCTCCTCGCCGACGTAGGTATGGGTGCACTACTTACCCTGGGGTCACTCCGCAGTCATAGACCCCTGGGGGGCCGGGCACGCGCAGCTCACCGACCAGCCAGACACTCTTCTCATCGACGTAAGTATGTGTGCACTACGTATCCTGGGGCCACTCCGCAGTCATAGACCCCTGGGGGGCCGAGCACGCGCAGCTCACCGACCAGCCCGACACTCTCCTCGCCGACGTATGTATGTGTGCACTACTTATCCTGGGGCCACTCCGCAGTCATAGACCCCTGGGGGGCCGGGCACGCACTGCTCACCGAACAGCCAGACACTCCTCATCGACGTAGGTATGTGTGCACTACGTATCCTGGGGCCACTCCGCAGTCATAGACCCCTGGCGGGCCGTGAACGAGCTGCGCCGACCAGTCCGACAATCTCCTCGCTGAGATAGGTCTATGTGCGTGAAACTCTAGGGTTACACCACTCCAGAGCCTTACCGATAGACTCATAACAATTTATTGATATATCGATGATATCGCGACAAATATCGATATTACGTTTTTATTAATAATGTCTTCCAGTTCCAGACCGAATTTCGGTCACGGCGGACCGTCTCGACGGAGACTAGCCATCGGCGCACGATTATACGAGGATTATAGTGCATGTAGTGTATGCGCAAGTACAGGTGCACTCTCTATTCTCTCACTCTCATAGTCCAATGGGGCGGTAAACCGACACGACTGGAGAGAGATCAGGCGCAGGGCCAACAGCTTTGCGTACTTTCCGAGGCACGGGCATGAACCCCCCCCCCCCCCCCCCAACTTCCTGACTCCAGGCTGGTCGGTCTGGCCGGTCGCGCCATTGCGCTTTGAGCTCCGCAAACGACTTTATCGCGGAGTTTCATTGTACTTCAATACCTCAAGAAATTAAAGCTCAGCGTGATCATGTTTTTGTTTAGAACTAAATAAATTATATTATTATTATTATATTATCATTACCCACTTACATTTATACACTAAATGTATCCAGATTCATACTTTAAAATATAAATTTTAATGTGTTATTTAAATATATATATATATATATATTTCAATATTTCTTTTAATACAATTCTAACTTTGAAAATTCCAGACCTTTCCACCGTGGACGAGGTAAGAAGCCAAATACCTGTCAGAGTTCAAAGAAGGACTGACATTTATGATACCATACAGAAGTCATAACTTCAACTGTGGAACTACACAAGGCGACATGTATACTTCCTATATACATATATGTGATTTTGAACCTAAAGATATCACAAATGTACATTTGTTATTAGATGTAGAAAGGGAAATGAAGAAATTGTAGATTAAGAGAACGTAATTTGATCCGGCTCGAAAGACCAGTAATATTAAATGTTGATGAGTTAGCGTCAATCTTCTTATGATTGGCAAACCGCAACGATCAAATTGTGCAATACTTTTATTTATAACTAGCTGTGCCCCGCGGTTCCACCCGCGTCATCACGTGTCCGAGGTGCGCGACATGACCTAGTTCATGCATTTTATAACGGCTAGGGTTTAAGCGTCGTTCGCGCGCCCAGCCAAGTATTGAATTATTTTAATTTTACATTATCTCTTAAACTATGCGTCCAAATAACATGATATAAAGAACAAAGTTTATCTTCATAATATTGTCTTGATGATGAAGTAACTTTCGTTCGTAAGGATAAATAGGCCATGCCTAATAATAACGCTCTTAAATCACTTTTAAATTTTCAATATTTTTTTTTGTCTCAAAATACCAAATTATGGCTTATGTATAAGAAATAGACATATAGTATCGCGGACTTTTTTTAGACGGAGTAAAGGTCTATATTTTTCTAGAACATTGTATTTACGTATCTCTAACGATAACACCAGCGTACGCGGATATATAATTTCGGGAGTGCTTTTTCTTCTGACTTGCTTAACAAATATCCATATTTAAGGCTAGCTGAGTGATATAGCTTAATGCTAGATAGCCTATACTATTCCACATGAATCTGGCTATAATATACAAAAAGAATTTTTCAAATCGGACTAGTAGTTCCAGAGATTAGCGCGTTTAAACAAACAAATAAAAACAAAAAAACTCTTCTGCTTTATTATATTAGTATAGATATTTAACCAAAAGGTTAGGGTTATCCAATTTGCCACGAATGTAAAAAATAATGTTTTGTATATAGATAAACATTAATATTATTGGAAGATGCGTTGAATTATTATTATAAATTATTAATGATATTTTTAAAGAATAGTACTTTAACATTGTTTACATCCGCAGAAAATAGGTTTGGAACAGTTTTCGGGGCAGGTACTCAACGTCAAGTCACGGCTCCTTGCGTGGGCTTACTCATGAAATAATACTCTGTCGAATTCTTGTTACATACTTTAATTCTTAATTTACATATTTAAAATAAAACCAAATGTATTTTTTATCAGCCAGTTATGCAAACTTGGTTGCAAGGTTAATTTTTGTTTGTCAACAATGTATATATTTCATAAACTTTATTTTTGTATATTTCTATACATGTTTTTATACATTAAAGTTTTGAATTTGTTGTTGTTGGTTTGATTGAGCTCAAATGTTTTTCCAGTAGTTGCAGGACATTATTACCACAACCCCAGAACAGAGTCAGGCCACTACCACCTGCGAAAAAATATTTTTACTGTTAATAATATTATATTTGCAATAGAAAACCGCATTAGATTAGGACTGTGAAACCAAAAATTTAAATGGAATCCGAATCCAAAAAATCGTAGGTTGGAATCCGTTATGAGACTGTCCCGTATGCGCAGGTGTCCGTGCGTGTGGGTGTCCGATCTGGCCTTGACAAATAAGCTACTATTTTATAATTTTAAGTTCATAAGCCCCATGTAAGTAGAATCGTTTGATTGTCAAAGGAACAGATGAGGAGAGGAAAATTATAGCATCGTTAAGGAAGCCTAATTAATACATCATAGTTTCTTTTAATAGTCAAGATTAAAAGAATTCGATTTTTTAAATTGAACGCAACGTAAATGTAGAAAGAAGAATAATTTATTTAGAATGTTATTAAATTATAATATTATAAAATTTTAAACTACAATATATTGGTATTATAAATATGACAAAAAAGCTGTAAGTATGATTACCTATGTTCCTAGATAAAATAAAAACTAAAATAAGTAAAAAGACCGTTACAATACCATGGCCGTAATTGTGTATGTATATCTTTCCGTCTCGTTCCTCCGCTTCTAATCTGACCGCGTCTCTGCCAGGCCGCAAACCTGCCCAGTGTTTCATCAGTTCGGCATGCTAAAAGAGTGAAAGAGAAAATATATCATCATCGCCATCGGCTTGGCCAGCTGATCGCATCAACATTTTACATCCCTAACGCCGGCAACGCATCTGCAATTACCCTGGTGTTACAGTTGTTTATGGACGGCGGTAGTCACTCACCATCAGGTGAGCCGCATGCTCGTTTGCCCCCACTTACATAAAAAAATTCCCGTCACCGATTTGAGTATCTTTAGTATAAATTTTTCTAAGCTGAACCTCACGTAATACTTGGTTTTACGTGGTAGATCCACACTGCAGTTATAGCTGAGGCTTGAATTCCTCCAACACTGATGTCGGTCGCGCGTACTAATGTACATTGTGTTCTATATAGCCCCACACTGCGACGCTGACGACAGCGTCGCGTAGTTTGCTGCACGCTGTACGCGACTGACCGTACGCAACCGACGTCAGCGTAGGAGAAATTCAGGGGTTCAGGGGTGACAACGCATCCGCATTTTCAATCAAGTATACATTTATATGTCTATTGGCCACAGCATCCACTTGCCATCAAGGGAACTGTGTGCTTGGTTGTCACGCTTATTGTATAAAATACCTTCGGAATGAGATAGGCAATGTTGAGTTCTCTTACACCGCCATTACCACCACGATGTAAGGTGAACTGTAATTTAGTCATTCATCGTAAATTCAAATAATGAAAGACTTGATTAGTAATCGCATTGGACATCAAAGCACTGAGTCGCGGGTTCTAGACTAAAATTTAGCCATATTCATGATGATCATATAGCCGCTTTCAGCTATAGTATAATGACCGCTATTTCTTTTTTTATCTACTGTTCCGCTTGGTCTGATCCACAAGTGACTGACATAGCCGATCTTAGTAAGTATGATCTCAATTATATTTTGTTTATTATACCTGGCGCGAATACCTTTCCTTTTAAGGTGCGATAGTGACGTTCTACGCTCATATCGATATTATATTCTCGGGTACATATGTGGTACCACAATAATTCCTGCTCAAGTTAGAGGTAGTCCTACCACGTAGCTTTTGTTGGGTGAACGGAATTGGTGAGCAGTAATATCTACGTGGCGCGACGAGGGGCAAATTTGGCGGGTGGGGTGATGTAAACCTGTTTTCTTCATCATTAACAGTCATAAAAGTTAATTGTTGATAAGCTTTACCCATTGTAAGAAGGGTTTGCCTTAATCATCACGTTTCACACCTTTGACGCTCCTTCCCGTCGCTACTACTATGTAACGCCTGACGTAAACAAGATGTTAATACCGCCATCTGTCGGAAGCCATAAGATCTTTTCCACACCCTTGTGACAACTATGGGATTAAAAAAGGTATATATATGAATTCACTAACGCCACCACCACGCGGCAAGATACGGTATAAATGTCACAAAACTTTGTTCTCTCATATTTATATTAATTGTAGGAATTTAAAAAAAAACTTACGTTACGAAGTGGGGAGGGATTTCTATGGTATTACATATTACATAGCTTAAGAATTTTACGTAGTTTTTGGTAAAAATAATATTGTTACGTGTTTTCAATCACCTCCAGTCCCGGTATCATTTGACGGCAACCATCCAATATGAATTCAGTGTTGCTGTCATCGATTTCCGTTCTGTAATCGTTCTCTTGATGAGTCCCACCTAGCACGCAAATTGCGTCACTGCAAATGTATGTGTTATATGTATACGTTTTTATTTAGGTACTTTGAGCATGATATGCTACCAAGGTGATCCAAAAGTAGTGATAATCGGTTATTTCTAGTGCATTTGCTTGCTTATGTACTCCTTCTTTTCTTTTCTGTTATGTTCCCACTAAATCACCATAAAAATCATATAAATGGCCTTCGATTCCCGGAAAGTAGGTACATTCATTTGAATACGAATCATCGAAAAGATAACAGTGTCAAGTTAAAGGAAAGGTTAGGGCGTCCGTTTTTCTGGACGCTGAAGGAATAATAACTGCTCGAACACCCGCCGTATTCGCAAGATCTAGCTCCCAGTGACTTCTATCTGTTTCCTCGGCTCAAGGAACACCTTCGAGGCAAGAAATTGGCAGACGATAGCGAAGTGATGGATGCTGTTGAGGCTTTTTTTGGAGGGTCAAGATAAATATATTTTTTCTAAGGGAATTCTGGGTTTTAAAAAAAGATGGACTAGGTAAATGCATTGACTTGTTAGGAGATAAATAGTTTTTTTTAACTATAAACACCGTGTTTAATATTCATTATCATTACATAATATCATTAATGCAACACGTTCAAAGATTAAGATAGGTACAGTACCGTCACAAACGATGACACTGCAAGATTTCAAAAAACTTGTAAATTTTAACTAAATTGTAGTAAAAAAAGTGTGTGTGTGTATGTGTGTCAGCTCCGACGCGCGACTGGAGTTTACTCCTTCATCATCATCATCGTCATCGTCATTACAGCCCTTCACAAATCCACTGCTGAACATAGGCCTCCCCCGAGGAATGCCACAAAGCACGGTCCTAAGCTACCTGCATCCATCGACTTCCTGTGTGTCTTATCAGCAAGATAAGATGCGCACGACATTACGTAGTCATGGAAAATATGAATACATAACGTAACGCATGACTTAACGTTTGATTTTACTCCCCATAAATTTTCATACCCCGGGGTTTATATATGAAAATGGATTCTGAAGGAGTAATTTCAATAAACTCCAAAAACATGTATTTTAAGTAACAAAAACGTTTTTTTTTCTTCAATAAATAGGATTATTTAATGTGTTTTTGGTAATGCCATTATGGTACTTATGGGCCCCTTTCGGATCGGGTATAGTTTTCGTTTATATCATATATTTTAACGGTCTAATGAATGCAAAATACAAAACTATAGTATTTTTAAGCATTTTTGGAATGAATTACAAGGCAGTACTTACTTCGGAATAATATAATGCCCGCTGTCTTCGTCAATAATGGTGTAGTTAAGCCAAGGAGCTTTGACCTAGAATAAATATGTTTTTGTTAATAATTCAAATAACAAATAGTTTGGAAAATCCAAAAGTGCACGCCTCATTGAGCGTTTCATTCGATGTTGATGAAAAAAATATATTGTGTTCCTGATTTTTGAAATATATTATTTACGAGTTTTAAATTTAGCGCTTTATTATTTTAACAGGTAGTGTTACCTATACATAAAGCAACACAGGGGGAAAATTAATAATGTTAACCAAAATAAATAGATTACACAAAGTATAAAATCGATGTAGGCTTGTGTGGAACATTTCTCCTATGTCTATATGGGCTAAAAAATATGAAATTGCCTTTAAATCTTTAGTAGCAATAAAACTTATAAGAGTTGAAAATAATTATATTAATAAACTACGCGTACCTACTAGGCTATTGATATGAAATAGACCATAAAAAACCTGGTCTTGATACGTCAATTCTTTCGGGACTTATTTTGACCACATACAAAATCAACATCCGAGCGTCCACGTAAATTTTTTTCAAACCGTTTTTTAATATAAAATCATTTTTAGAAAATAAAAAGATTAATTAGTGTTTTCTTGATGTACGTCTACTCATATTATCGTATAAGTGCAATATGGTTATGATAGAGGCATTTGAAGAACACAAAATTGCTTGACCTTAACGTGTCGAGAGTAATGCACGCCTCATAACGCGAAGCGTTTCTTTATACTTTGGCAAATACTAACTTATGTGTGTACAGATCATCTGTATCAACCTATACTTTCAAAACTGTCAATGCTACAGTGTGCTTATAATTTGTTTATTGTTTGAGATTTTGGCGTTATTTAAAAAGTTGAGCTGAATTTTCTTTCCCTAAATCAAAGAGTATAATAAGTATATACAGGAAAAGAGAGCCCTCTGACGATATTTTATTGCAGACAAAATTGAACTACTAGCGTCTCCTACAAATTGAATCCGAACTAATTCGCTATATATAGCTATACTATGTACATCATATTAATGTAACTATTATGTTCTTTAATTCGCATACTTACTGAAACAATTTTTACTTTTTTTTTGTAAAATAATTTATACTTTTAATATTAAAAGTAGGTAAATAGTTTCAATAAGTACACTTGTATTTGTGAGATAATAATATATAAAAAGGTTATTTGCGATGTTACAGGAATGACAATTTAATATGACAATTATTTCATTTTTTTTTTATTTTTTATTATAAAATGCTGGTTGCCAGTATCATAATTGTCATATTTATCGATTGATTCGATAATTATTACGTGTTTTTATGTTAAAATTATAATTTTTTATCAATAAAATCACCAATAATTTTTTGGTCACGAACAATTTCATCTTAGTCCTCAAAATTGACAGCGCATAAGTGCCTACGGTTTACGCATGTTTGTTATTATTATGGGTATTATAAAAAATAGATGATTATAATTAATGTTAATAATATAAAATTAATAATATAAAAAAATTAATACCGCTACCGTTACAGCCTATCAAAAGTCATTCCAGAACATAGGTCTCTCCCAATTAGGAGAGTTAACGCCCTAGTTGCTTGGCAGGCGGTTTAACAACTACAGTTTTTGGAACGAAGTTCCTTATCGCACGGTCACATAATAAATAATAGTACTACATAGCACGGTACGAATTTGACGGATGGGGGTTAGGTGAGAGAGAAAAGTGTAAGATTTTGTCCGTCACGACTTCCTATATATAAAAAAGTACTCTGTGGTCACGACTACCTTTCTATAGCGCGACCGAGATGGAATGATATCCATCTCCCTTGCACTTCTTATTTTGCCATGAAAGAAATATCATTTGAAATGACGCTTCGTTTTAATTTTAATAGACGCTAGTAATTAATTTATTTGTATTTGCTAATCAATAATAGAATACGTTTATCAATAATAATATACTACGAAAGGAACTTCGTTCAAGCCGAGTGTTCCACGACACTCACGCATGTTATTTTATTTTTTAGTCGTTATTAGCAAGACACTGCTGCCCATCTTCTGGTTTGTCTCACTCTGTTGCCTCTTACGACACCAATGGGCGATTTGAGGAAGGAGGAGGAGGAAAGAGGATATACTTACACTGCTACTACACGGTGAAATATACAATGCTTTATAAATATCTAAAAAAATAAAAATTACCCTTGCGATTTGTCCTCGTATAGGAAAGACTCTACTGTCCGGCACGATGTCTCTCGCGCTGAGTCCGGTGCAATTGATTACCACTTGAAAGTTATGCAGAATGGGATCCGACAAGGACGCCAACTTGGCGTTTACCACTTTACCCTTTAAACGATTATACCTCATGTACAAATATTCCATAAGCTTAGGTGCTTGAATGACAAATGTTGTGAAAGTTCGACCGGCTCTATGAAAATAATTACTTAAGTTAGTAGGTACTCGCTTGCGATACGATTGGGAGTTGGCTAAGACATAGTGTCACGGACATATGGAATAAACAACAATGGAGATAAACAACAAAACCGGATTCGAAATTATATAACAATAAACAATTTTTGTTTTAGACAAATGCTTGCACTAGCTGGATTTAAACTCGCTGAATACCTAATTACTCTAGTACTTTTCTTTACTTTTATTCTTAAAAGAAAAAGTTAGCTTCAAACTTGAAATATCTTCTGCATCGTTTAAATTGCTTAAGAGCCATACAAATATTTGCCAAACGCTTAGCCACTGCGCGATCGAGCTGTAGATTTGCTTTGTGCCTACTATAAATACTCGTATATTAGAACATTAATATTCGTGTAGCAACCTACTAACCTAGTGAAATATTGGCAAACAAGTGATTTTTTTTAATATAGTGTATTAAAAATGTCAGACAGACAAAATAAAAATAAAAACACAGTTAGTGGACAGCTTAGATTAATAAAAGGGCATCGCGCGCTGAGCGCGCGAAGACCTCTCAATAATTTAAGGTGGACCGTAAAGACAGTGGGCGTAGCTTGGGGAAGGGCGGCAGGATGTGGCATTTTTAAAAGGAAAGAAAAGTCAGCTTTACATTAAAATATGGCGGAGTTGTGTAATAGGACCACAATTCCGAAACTAGGTAATAGATATATCATCATCATCATTACAGCCCTTCACAAGTCCACTGCTGAACATAGGCCTCCCCCAAAGAATGCCACAAAGCACGGTCCTGAGCCACCTGCATCCATCGACTTCCTGCATGTCTTACCAGGTCGTCACTCCATCTCGTGGGGGGACGCCCTACACTTCGCCTACCGGTACGAGGCTGCCACTCGAGAACCTTTCTTCCCCATCGGTTGTCGGTTCTTCGAGCTATATGGCCGGCCCACTGCCACTTCAGCTTACTAATCCGTTGGGCTATGTCGGTTACACTGGTTCTACTGCGGATATCCTCATTCCTAAGTTTATCACGCAGAGAAACTCCGAGCATAGCCCTCTCCATAGCTCGCTGAGCGACCTTGAGCTTCCCCATACGGCCAACAGTGAAGGACCACGTCTCAGTTCCATAAGTCATCACTGGCAACACGCACTGGTTGTACAATTTCGTTTTCAGGTTTTGAGGTATGTCTGACGAGAAGATGTGTCGTAGCTTCCCGAACGCTGCCCAGCCGAGTTGAATCCGTCGATTGACCTCTCGGTCGAAGTTGGACTTACCTAGGCGGACTATTTGTCCCAGGTAAACATACTCGTCAACAACTTCGAGCTTAGTGCTCCCAACAACTACCGGCATAGGTGTGGCATGGACATTGAACATGATCTTTGTTTTATCCATGTTCATCTTAAGACCTATCCGTTGGGAAACACTATCGAGGTCATTGAGCATAGTGCTTCGGTCCTCCAGCGATTCTGCCATAAGGACTATATCGTCGGCAAATCGAAGGTGAGTGATGTACTCGCCATTGATGTTGATACCGTATCCTTTCCAGTCCAGAGGCTTGAAAACGTCTTCCAATGCAGCGGTGAAGAGTTTCGGGGATATGACGTCACCCTGTCTTACACCTCTCTGCAATTGGATAGGTTTCGTACTCTGGTTCTGTACTCGGATAGCCATCGTAGCCCTACTGTACAAGCACTTCAACACTTCGATATACCGACAGTCAACTTGGCACCGCTGAAGGGACTGCAGCACCGCCCAAATTTCGACGGAATCAAAGGCTTTCTCATAGTCCACATACGCCAGACATAGTGGCAAATTGTACTCTTCGGACTTCTGTACAATTTGCCGAAGGGTATGTATGTGGTCTATGGTGCTAAAGCCCTTTCGGAAACCGGCTTGTTCGGGAGGCTGGAAGTCGTCAAGTCTGCGCGCGAGACGATTCGTAATGACTCTCGAAAACAGCACGTAGACGCGGCTCAGAAGGGAAATCGGTCTGTAGTTCTTCAAGAGAGCGTTGTCACCTTTCTTGAAGAACAAGACCACCGCACTTCTGCTCCACGCCTCCGGTGTAATGCCACCATGGAGGACGGAATTAAAGAGCTTCTGAAGGACTTGAAGTACCGGTCTTCCACCCGCTTTCAGAAGCTCCGCTGTAATTCCATCCTCGCCTGGGGCCTTACCGTTTTTAAGGTGCTGGAGAGCCATTCTAATCTCGCTCAGACTGACGTCCGGGATATCTTCGGAATAGTGTCGGATGAGACACGCTCTTGGATCGTTACTCACACTTGCGTGTGGCTCCAACGATGACGTGTACAGCTGCCCATAGAACCTCTCAATCTCACTCAAAATCTCAGGTGTCCCGGATATATATAGATATAATCATGTCCGAATTTTGGTCACGGCGGCCAGTCTCAACGGAGACTATCTACTCAGGACAGGATTATAGTGTCCACTCTCATAGTCCAATGGGATGGCAAACCAACACATCGTTTGACATACTTATTATAGTTATATTTTCATACATTTTTCATTCGTTTTCATGCACTTTTGGTAAAGTGTCGAATGATTCCTATTAATGATTTAAACTGTCCATAAAGAAATCTAACCACATTTAGAAAAAGTTGTATAATAAAATGCCATTTTTTTTACGTGGTAGAGCCATGCTGTAGCTATATTAGTAGTGTAGTTGTAGCACGAATGGGTAGGCTCGACCGGGGAAGGACTACGCTCTCACAGAATACCAGCGTAAAATAGCAGCTTAACGCTGCTGTGTTTCGTATGGTGAGTGTAGAGAACCGGAGACCCTTTTTTACTGGAAACGAGGCATTCCATCTTAGTCCTCACGGGTGACGACGCATCTGCATTTTGATTTGTAATCGAGAATAGATGTAGATGTCTATGGGCCGCAGCAACCACTTATCATCAGGTGGACTCTGTGCTCGTTTGTCACTCTTATCTTATAATATATTTTTTACATACGCATAATTAATCGAATGCATTCGACTCAAATAATCGAGCTGTCTCATATCGAGCTCCCTGAAGCCGAATACTAAGTCCGCCCACAACGGCCGTTGTGTCTCCCTCTTCTTCCTGTACAGTTCGTACATTGGCATCACAGAAATATGATTGCCTCCTTGGTACCACAAATCGTGCAAGAAAACATACGTCTCTCCACCCCATTTCCTGTACAAAAAGAAAAATAACAAAACGTAAAATTAAAAAATTTTATAAAACCGACTTCAATAATATTAATAGAGAACATCATCAATGTAGTCGAAAATTTTTTTAAGAGCAATTTGAAGTGTTGATTTACTACGTTCTTGGCGGTGAAGGAAATATGCATATTTGAGAAGTGTCCAGTTAAGGTCATTGTTACGGCCTACGGTTGCTCCCTTAAAGGATCCAATCCCCCGGGGCCCATCAGCAGAAGACTTCCCGAGCAAACGTAGGTCGGGCCTCCTAAGGCCACGTGGAAGTTCTCTAATTACACTAAAGATATGGGGGAGCGTTATACTACGGCCAGTCGACCGGAAGGAATCTGGCGGAGTTCACTTACCTCTATCCAAGGCGACTGGTCCCTCCGGAGTCGGTCAGGTCGCATGTGGTTGTGTAGTGCAAGGGAAAGAATGGTGATGTGGTGTGTATCTGGGTGTGACTGATGGTGATTGAACCTAGACCTTAGCCGTCGGCAGCAGCCCGAGCGTCGACACCGCTCCAACTTGAGGGGGCCACAGTCACTTTCTTGGTTCACCACGATGACAGTCACTTAACTCTATCGTACGATTAACTAGCTTACAGAAGCCACTAACTATCGCGGGGTATAAGGTTACCGCACAAAACACGCCCGGAGTTTCTAGGTCAAAGGTCACTACCGTTTCGCGTGGCAACAGTTCTAAATACCGAGGCCGCACTAGCTTATATTGCCGAATGCACTTATACAGATTCTGAGTCGGACCCAATAAGTCCCGGGAAAGGCTATCCAAACAGGGAATGCGCGTTATAATTCCTAGACAGGATATTTACTAGACGCCCTAACTATTCCGCGGTTCCCGCACAAATTAAAGGCGTGCAAACATTAGCACATCTGGCAGATGACTGACTCGCTTGCGACCCGCGCGCCACTGTGACGCTCGGAAGAACTTCAGACCGGAATCGCGCCGAGCCGAGTGACATCTGGTGTCGATTCCGACAACAGAGTTTTGCGCGAACAAACCCCCGTCCCGGACATAAGGATTTAGGTCCGCGAGCAAACCGGTCAGCGGGACAAGGTCGAGACTGCAAGTTGCAAGACCGAATCTACAACCAAACTAGGCCACCTTAGGCAATCTATTAGGTCTTGCAACCCTAATCAACGCCTCAAAGATATCCCTAATGTGGCAAGCCGGAGGGTCAGCCTCCACTGGATGCCCCTCCTGGGCATCGCAGCACTTTAATAAGTCCTGTACTGGACAGAAGTCCGACGACCTCTTTCAAACACCATCTGTGCCCCTATGATTAGTTCCGCAATCCGACCGGATCAGCTCTGCAAACAGTGACGCGACACGAAGCGGCCTCGAGCGGCCTCCTAAGCTTCAGAGCACCCACAAATTCCACATGAACGTTGTCTGTGGAGAGCCGAACGAAACGCACAGATAGTCCCTAGTATGAATTTTCAACAAGTAGGCCTAGCCAGGCCACCCACCATATTATCATTTACTAAAATAGTGCGGCAGCTGATTTCAATCTGATAATCTCCAAAACTAGCTAGCCTGTTAGACAAGTAGTCCTATGCTCATATTTCAACTAATTTTTCAAAAGCATCAATGTTCAACTACAGAATTAATTCAACCAAATTAATCACCGATGCGCATAGGTCAACTTGCAAATTAAACAAAACAATAACGTAAGGGACAGCCCTACTTCTTAGAAAACAAAAATGATTAAACACTATCCTAAACATAAACATAATTTTTCAAATAGTGCGCCATTCCATTTCAGATGAATTCAAATTTTCCTTTCAGCAAACAAACGCAACAATCAAATACAGTGATTAAATATATGTACAAAACACATGCAGTAGCATTTAAAGGAGTAGATTAAATTCAATTCTTTTAATTTAAACCGCTACAAATAGGAGAATTTCGCGGAAAGCCCAAAGCAATTTTTAATTTTAATTCAAGTATTTTTTTTGACTAAGTGCTCGACCAAACCAAATCTAATACCCCTTGACAGCGTGATTCAACGCTACAGGGGGACCCTAATCTTCCCACCACCAAGGGGAGGCCACATGGCGTGAACCCGAGATAAATAGAGCACAACCTTTAACAGTTGCCACTCGGGTTGTACGCCTTCACTGAGGCCGTCGGCAACAGAACATTTTGACAAGTGGACCGTTGACGGCTTAAGGCTCAGTGGAGGCGGCCGTGGTGGGAACTAAGGCAGCAGCTAGACAGGGCCGCCTCCATCAAATGGGGAACAGTGGTACACCAGTCGCGGCCACTCAGCTAACGGAAGTGAGAAGGGTCCAGCGGACCGATGAGTGGCCGTGAAGTTCCTCTCCACACGCTGAGGGGGGGTGATGACACCCCCGCCCCTGGGGGAATTACCCCCCGACTGGTCGGGGGAGGGACTCCTTTCAAACTTAGGGGCCTGGTGGCTGGACGGCGGGCGCCGACAGTCACCCTGCAGAGGGCGTGGCTGAGCGCCCCCGCCCGTGGGGGTCGAGGGCCTGGCAGAGCCCCGAGAGGAGATGCCGTTCGCACCCAGGCACAAAACGGCATGGTGATTGCCCTGGCAATGCAGACAGGGCCGTCGATGCGGACAGTCTCGCTGGAGGTGCCCTCCCAGACATGACCAGCACCAGCGGCGCTCCTTGGCGATAGTTCGCCTCGCTGGAACCGGCTTACCTAATAATTTCGGGCACGACGTTACCCGGTGATCAGATGCTCGACAATAGGAGCAGGGGGGGGTTGACGACGACTTGCCTGGCGGGTTCAGCCTCTCACTGGGCACGTCTCGCAAGTCGTCAACGGTGCCCGCCGCGTTCTCGATCTGCCGGCACTGCTCCTCCAAAAACCGCAGCAGGTCATAGAAGGGCGGAATATAGGAGGCCTCGTCCCCGCCGTACCTCTCCTCAAAATGGATTCGCAGGTCGAGAGGTAGACGGGACAGCACGATGCGGAGCAACAAAAAAGCCCATTCGCCCACTGGTAAACCCAGCCGCCTCAAAGTATTACAGGCCACCAAGACTGGATCCAACAGGTCCGGACGCAGTCTGGCCCGGTCACTAAGCAGCGGGAGGCTTAGAAGCTGCTTAACATGCTCGTCTGCAATTCGCCGGACGTTGGCGTATCTTCTGGCTAGGAGGTCCCGAGCAGTCTGGTAGGCGTCGTCCGACAATTTCAAGTGGCCGACGACGCCCAGGGCCTCCCCCTCCAGTGAGGCCAGGAGGTACGCCATCTTTTGGCTCGGGGTCAAGTCACTCCGGGCGTCCACTAGGCTGTCGAAAAGACCAACGAAGGTCAGCCATTCGGAAAGGACCCCGGAGAACTTTGGCAGGTCCAGAGTTGGGAGTCGTCCCAACAGCTCCGGCTGAAGCTGCTTCAGAGAGGACTCGGACAGGTTACTCATCCGAGCTTCACGCGCCTCCTCGGCATACCTGCCTTCAGCCTCGATCAACTCGTCCGTGAGCCACAAGAACTGCTCATAGTCCGCGAAGCAGGAGTCCAGGACTCCCTTCTCCACATCCGAATCCTCGAGCTCAGCGTAAGCCTCCTCCACTGCGGCCCTTCGAGCATCCACCTGCTCGAACCGCTTCATCAAGTTATGGACCCTATCCGGTCGACCTATCAAAGCATGGGCGCTTGTGGCCCAGCGTAGCTCAGTCCGCAAACAACGGATCAGTAGCTTGGGCGATGTCATCACTATTAAAGACAAATTACGACGCGGCTTGAGCACAGTTTACAAAGATAACAAATAAAAAATACAACAAAAAATTAACAGTTAATAAATGCAGTTCCTATCAAATCGCGTTGAATAGAAATTACACAAATACGAACTACTTGCTACGTATCAACCAAATACAAATTAGCACAAAAAAGACACAAATCAAATTAACAAATAACAAATACTAGTGCGATCGAATCAAGTTAAATTCAAATTGCGCAAATACAAATTACTACTATTTAGTTCAAATACAACTTACAGTATAAACGAAGATACACATCACGGTCGATCAACAAAAAATGCCTAGCTCGGAAATCGAACCTTCGATAAGTAATCCACTACAACTCTCCGACAACGATAATTAACCGATTACGTAAAAATAACCATCTACCTACATGACGTATATCTCTAGAAAATCTCCCGCTTGCACAACCTAGGGCGCGGCTTTTCAAATTACCCTCTAACCAAAAAAAAGGCAAGCAACAAAGCAACAAAGGAAAATAATTCTATTATTACGTACAAAAAAAATATTTTTACGTATTACGGACGGGCGTGATTGTAGATGCAAATTAAACCAATCACACCAACGCTCCCTGCCACCAAAATTGTTTAATGTTTATCAAACACTATAGTCGGGATCGACCGGGAATCGAACCCGGAACCGCGCTCTGCTACCAATTTGTTACGGCCTACGGTTGCTCCCTTAAAGGATCCAATCCCCCGGGGCCCATCAGCAGAAGACTTCCCGAGCAAACGTAGGTCGGGCCTCCTAAGGCCACGTGGAAGTTCTCTAATTACACTAAAGATATGGGGGAGCGTTATACTACGGCCAGTCGACCGGAAGGAATCTGGCGGAGTTCACTTACCTCTATCCAAGGCGACTGGTCCCTCCGGAGTCGGTCAGGTCGCATGTGGTTGTGTAGTGCAAGGGAAAGAATGGTGATGTGGTGTGTATCTGGGTGTGACTGATGGTGATTGAACCTAGACCTTAGCCGTCGGCAGCAGCCCGAGCGTCGACACCGCTCCAACTTGAGGGGGCCACAGTCACTTTCTTGGTTCACCACGATGACAGTCACTTAACTCTATCGTACGATTAACTAGCTTACAGAAGCCACTAACTATCGCGGGGTATAAGGTTACCGCACAAAACACGCCCGGAGTTTCTAGGTCAAAGGTCACTACCGTTTCGCGTGGCAACAGTTCTAAATACCGAGGCCGCACTAGCTTATATTGCCGAATGCACTTATACAGATTCTGAGTCGGACCCAATAAGTCCCGGGAAAGGCTATCCAAACAGGGAATGCGCGTTATAATTCCTAGACAGGATATTTACTAGACGCCCTAACTATTCCGCGGTTCCCGCACAAATTAAAGGCGTGCAAACATTAGCACATCTGGCAGATGACTGACTCGCTTGCGACCCGCGCGCCACTGTGACGCTCGGAAGAACTTCAGACCGGAATCGCGCCGAGCCGAGTGACATCTGGTGTCGATTCCGACAACAGAGTTTTGCGCGAACAG